CGGAGAGAAAAGGATTTTACGGTGAGTACAAAAATCCTATTTTTAAGCCTCCCTGGATCCTGGAGGACAGAGTATCCGTTTGATGATTTGTAGTGTGGTAATGACGACAATTCAGGGGGAACTTTCCCAAGTATGCAGCTGATCAAGTGGAGCCCCGTCGGGTCCTCGAAGGTGTATGAAATAAATGCAAAGGGTCATACACATAAGCACACACCGAGTGTGTCTCCAAGTTGTGCGGCCGTGCCCACTTATAATACGGAGGTATCCTTGGAATAGGCAATACTTTCGATTCTGACTCATCAAGGTTCAAGCCGCCAAGCTCAATCCACTCAGTGGCGTTGTTCTGCTATGCCAACCACAAGCCTCTGGTTCGGCGGATAATTCAAATAGCTGTACAGGGAAGCTCCATCCACGCTATCCCTGACGCGTTTCCCCCCAACGAGTGGGGCTTCTTCAGAGGGGCGTGAGTTACTCCTTTGAGCATAGGTGATTTATAACTAGTCAATTCAATCAGCATTTCATTGGAAATTGCATGTTACACTTATATGCCGCAAATGGCGTTAATATCGTTTCATAGAAAAAGGAAACATATATTCAGATCGCCACAAAGGGTGATCTCTCTCTCAATTGTTCATAGATATGTGCAAATATATAATAAGACTGTACATAATCATAGAAAAGTCGAATATCTTTAGTATATATAGAAAAAATATAAAACATATAAATGGCTTAAAGCCGTATACATGCGGGTTTGATTTTTGTATTGATTGGTCACAGTATATATTCTAGTAGTACAAATAACAGGTTGATTATTGTGGGGATCCATTAGAGCAGTATGTTAGAGTGGTGGGGGGTTCATAGAAAGCAGCTGAAATTCACCATTTCATTAATCCCAGGTGCATCCTGGGATTCTGTTTGATAAATCCATCTGCACTCCTTCTGTAGTAAGTGTTGATCCCAGTTTCCACCACTACTTTGCTTGTGCACCCTATCCAAAACAAAAAACCGGAGTCCATCTATTTTTCCATTGTGTACATTAGTAAAATGTCTTACTACAGGTGATCTTAAATCCCGGGCTGCAATGTCTGCTAGGTGATCGGAGAGTCGATTTTTTTAACATGCGTTTTGTCTTTCCCACGTAAAACACATCGCATTTACAGAGCATCAAGTAAATGACCCCACTCGTCTCACAATTAGCGAAATGGCGTGGTTTGATCTTTTTGCCCCTAGGGGTAATTATTTCGGCTCCCGTTTGGATGTACCTGCAGAATTTGCATTTTTGACATTGGAAAGTCCCCTGATGTTTGCAACATTTTCCTCCTATTAGTTTTGTATTCGCTGCTGGTCAATTTATCTTTTAAAGAGGGACAGTAATTGTGGGTTTTTTACAGAGAAATTTAGAAATTCTAGAGTCCTTTAATAGACAATGCCAGTGTTTTTTTTTTATTGAAAATTTTTAATACTTCATTATGTTGATTATTATAGGTTAGAATGAGTCTGACCAAAGGGTCCTCCACCAACGGAGGTTAACTATAACAAATGTTTGCCACCGTATATTGCATAGTATGCATACTAAGCTGCTACAGTGAAGTCTCTCAAACGTTTTTAAGATTTTAAAAGTCCGTTCTGTGTGATTTATATGTGTATACTTTTTCTATTCAATTAAAATATGTTTGATACATACTTGCATGTTAATATATCACTAATCAGCTCCTACTTGGGATTTCCTTGTTGCTAAAGGGAACCAATTTTCTACTATAATGTTGTTTACTCATCCTAACTTCTTGCTGGCCTTGTATCCATCTGGTGCAGAATATAAGGTCCATTTCACTGTGGATGTGGCTTTGTCTCGCCTTAACAAGGCAACTAACATTCTGATAGAGGGTACACCTGCTTTGCAGGGATCTTCTCATCTCACCGCTGCCATTGACCCAAAGCGATGGCTTACTGAAAGCCTTGTTTCCTGCATGAATCTCCTACTTGGGCATATGCAAAGAGCACTTAGGCTTAACTGCTGGATTGCAGAACTGACTTAGAAGAAAGTTTGATCTGCATGCCCTTCAAAGGACACTGACTCTTGGACCAGCCTTACTCTCTTTCTTCAAAGATGTTAATGGTGGTAAGAAGAAGCCTAAGGAGCAGACTGCAAAGTCATCTCCCTCTCTCATGGTCAAGAAACATCCCTTTAATTTCTGCACCCTCATCATAGATGTCTAGTTCCCCCCAAGCTTCGTCCCACAAAGTCTTGCACTCCAGTTTGCCAGTTAACCAATCCTCCTGTAGGTGGCAGTATAAGGTTTAACACTTCCTGGATCCCTCATTGACTCCATGAAAATTATTTTACGGGGAGTACAAAATCCCTATTTTACCAGTTGTAGGGGATGTCTGTTATTGCACTTCAATTCATTGTACTTCAAGCACTGTACTGATTTCTTGTAAAAGGAGTGAGCCAGTTACATAAATATAAATTTCAGGGCTATCCATGCCTAGTACTATAGCTACGGCTGCAAGGTAAAGACTGAGTTTTGAGGAGGTATTTGAAACCCATTGCTTCATGTTGTGATCTATGTCCTTCTGATTGGGCTTTTTAGCTTGGTGTTCTAAGTAGGATGCCCCTAGATTTTCTTTCCTAGCACATCAGAAAATTGACAATTTTTATTGCAGAATATGATCCTTGGATGTCCTAACTGGTCAATGGCATTATCAACTTGGACCATCTCAAAAGTTACTTCCTGCTATTACAGTTGTCTCTTGGTGCCCCACTGCACTCCCAAATCTATAAACTCACTGTTGGACTTAGCCTTTGCTGTTGGGTGAGTTAGACCTCTTCCCATGCTTTGTTGTGTCTCTGGAACGGGGGGTGTCTACCCTCTTATTGCCCTTGCACCTCTTCCCTACCTTGACTGATGCATGAGTCTTGACTCACACTTTTTTTTTTTTTCTCCACTCTTGTCTTTTTCTACAATCTGCGACAAGGGGAACTTTTCTTCCATGCTTTTTCTCAGGGCCTACATTTTTGTGCGCAATACTGGTGAGAGGGAGCACAGTAGGCTCAACCCATGTACTGGTTTATTTTTACCAATTAGACCACTCTTGAACCCCTTAGCTTGCTCTGCATTGTTTCTTCACCTTATTGAACCTCAGGCCTTAGATTTAGGCTCTCTGGATACTGTCATAATGCAGTTCACATGCATCTCATGGTAACTCTATCTCACATGTTAGAACTCTGTCTTGCTAATTTGTCTAAATTGGTTGTTTGCAAGTTCCCTGTTTTCTCTGATGCCTCCAAAAGTGGGTCTTGTACCCAGGTCTGCTGAGTGCTTTCTTTTACAACTGTCAGGTCCCATACCCATGCCCCTAATTCCAAAGCAAGGGTGAGTCAGTTCATGTTTCATTCTTTTCCTCCAATGTAGCTCTTTTAATTAGGTGAGCTTTTGGTCTCCATTACCTCTTGTGTAGTCACCTTGAGCAGTACCATTTTGCCTTAAGTATTGGGCACAAACCACATATCTCCAGGTAACGGTCTACTACTGGATGGACTTCTCTTCCTTGGCATCTGTCTGATTGGGGCACACTATAATGATATCATTGATGCTACCAGAAGTCCAATCTTGTCATCTCAGATGTGATTCTTCTTTTTTTCACTTATTTTGCCTTTCATTGTGTCCCCAGAAACATGGATCACAAATATTTTATTCCTCAACCAAGTCTCACTCTCAGATGAGAGCTAAGCCAGTTTGTACTGCTGAAATCTTCCAGACTGACGGACAAGTTGTAGTCGTCGCCAACCCCCCCACCCCACACACACACACACACACACACACACACACACCTTGTTTTGGGGCCATTTTGGCTTTGCTACATTCTAGATGTCAACCACCTGCTTGAACAACTTGCCTACCAATGTTCCTTATTTCCCTCAGTGCATTGTTTTTAAAGGTTTGTAGTATTTTTCCCAGAGGGTTGTTATTGTCATTCACACTTCAATAAACTTTCATAAGTTTCAAGAAACTGTACTCTTTCTTCCTGGATTTAAAAGCCCTAAACTGATTCATCCAGGAAGTTTATGTTGGAATCTCTTGGGATCTCTGAAATAGGGGAGTATCTGGTGTCGGTGGACATACACAATGCCAGTTTTCATGTCTCAATCTTTCCTCCTTATTAGCATTTCCTCCACAATTTCCTAGGGCATTTACATGTTCAGTTTGTGGTCTTGCCCTTAGGCCTTGGCTACAGTGCCCAGAGTGTTCACTGAGACTCTGGCCCCAATGCTAGCTTTCATTTCTGTAAGTGACTTTGCTCCCAACTTTGTTGTCTCGGGGTCCTTTCTTCTCTCCCTTTTGAGTGGAAGATCCTTACAATCAATACAACCATATTTGATTGGGGTCAATCTGGGCCACCTTGTTGTTTTTAGGGTCTTTGGACACCAAAAAATGTCTCTGCTGATAAACACCTTGGAGATCCAGGCTATCCGTCACTACTTCAATGGACCCTACTGCTGTTGCAGTGCCCACCACAGTGACTTGTGTAAATCAAGGAGCATATTTTTGTCTACTTAAGAGTATTGGTATTTTGGCCTCCCTGGATCCAACTCCCAAGAGGAGAAGGGGTGTAAGAGAAGAGTTGGATCCCTGGATCCAACTCCCAAGTGGAGAAGGGGTGTAAGATTTTCTCAACTGTGGCTATATTTGAGACATTCCATCTTATAGTAAACCTGCACTTTGTCCCCATAGACAGCCATTATCTATTGCAGGGGCGAGCATAAATACCGGACAGAAACACTGCCAGAACTTGTATGTGCTATAGTAATGAGTGCTGAACTTTCTGCATTGTAAGGTCTATATATTTTATGCAGGGCACAAAATAAGGTAGTATAGAGGGATATTTATTTATTTTTTCAAGCTGCGCTTTTTAAGATTTATTTTTTTTAACATTTGCAACTAATACTGTCATTTTGTTTTAATGTCTTTTTTTTATCTTTTTTTTTTATTTTTACTCAGGCCCAAGATTCTTATCAAACTCCTCAAAATCCTGCAATGGTTCCCCGACCAAGTGAACTCTACTACAGTAAAATAGGTCCAGCCCTCAAAGCGGTTGGACTGAGCCTAGATGTGTCTCGTCGAGACTGGCCTATTAATGTGATGAAGTCTGTATTAGAGGAATTAATGGAATCTACTCCTCCAAACCTGCTGGCTAAAGAGTTGTGGTGCTCATGTGCCACAGCTGATGAGTGGTGGAGAGTTACGCAGGTGAGAGGGGGTGGTTGTTCTTATTTTAATTTTTTTAGCATCATATGTGTTCATACTTTGGTAATTATAAAGCTTTTAAAGGAGATTATAATGCATTTTTTAAATTAGCATAAATAAAGGTCTTTATATTTTTTCAAAGTAGAGGCTTTTCCCTTTCTCTGCTGGTATTTTCTGGTGGTTCACATAGGGATCTATTAATAATGGTGTGGATATGACTATCCTCTCTCTGTTATACTTCCCAGTGCAGTTGCAGTACCGCAACATTTATTTTGTTGCCATTTCATAAAGTCCAGGCTGCAGTATGAAGCTACACTATCCTTAGTGTATTTCAACTTTGCAGTTAAATTGAGAACGCCCTCTACATGTTACATGAAGCATATTGTAAGTGGGGTTTTTTTGTGGGGTTTTTTCCAAAAATATTTTTTTTACATTTTTAGACATCTCTATTTCGCAGGACTTTGCAAGCTTCTCCATCTATTTTAGTAACTGGAAACTCTGTCTGTCCTAATAGAAGGACTTATGACAGACTAAGCTCCCCCTCATTATCTTACAACAATAGTAGATCTTTATCCCTTTGTTAGGACAAACCATGTTCAAATCTAGTTTACAACTAATGAGACCTGCCGCCACAGTACAGACAACACTTTTTATTTTAAGTTAAGCTATGTGAAATGAGAAACACAATTATAAAATGGGTTTTATCCCAATTTGGCTGCAAAAGCGGAAATACAATGTAAGACAGAGTAAAGTAGAGATAAAGAGTAGAAAGAGCTCTGTGATTAGAGAAGAGCTGGTTATGTGAATTTGGCAGGTCACCTATGTACTGTGCTCTGTGCCCCCC